TCTCTCTTTTAGGATGATTTGCAAAAGCAAGTCTCCGAAGGCACTCTGACTGTCTCCAGGACCAATGATGTTTTGACTCTTGCTTTGGGAACCCCCGAGCATGGTGGGAGAGTCAGAGGAGTTGGTGCTGGCGTTTCCCCAACTCAGTTCTTCAATTTTCCGAAACAGCAGAGAGTGAAATTTGGTGACAAATTGAAGGAAAGTGTGAGGGAGGCAGTCAGAGAAGAGACCTTGAGGATTGAGGCAAGGTCAAAGGAAACTATAATGGAAGCAGTTAGAGCAGAGAGGGAGGCTATGTTGGCATATTTCCGTCAACTAGTTCCTAATTTTGATCCCAGCCTGATGCTCAAAACCCCAATTACTCCAATTATTCCAATTACTCCAATTACTCCAATTACTTTACCCCCTCAAGATCAAAGCCCAAAAAATCCAATGTCTGATAAGGCAAGCTGCTCTGGGGTCACTAGTATCAGACCCCTAGCTTTGGGATTAGAAGATCCAAAGCCTGAAGCTGATACTGCTGGAAAACAGCAAGAGGACTCGGTAAAATCTCTGATATTTCTAATTCTGCCTTTTAAATTTAGAATAGACGTCCCTCTTTTAAATATCCGACGTTAAAATTTAAAACAACGACGGTATATATTTAGCGACGTTGGAAAACAATAATACGTCTTTTTCTTCCAAGAACCGTCGTGTTGAGTTAAATTCCACGACGGTTTTACTTGTTTTGCAAATTATTGGACATAAAAAATAAGGACTGTGTTTTTTGCCGTCGTCTATTTCATGATAACATTAACTGCATTTTAATTAGACGACCTTTCTTTAGTATAGGGACGTTATAAATTACACACAACGACGGTTATGTATTTACCGACGTCTATAACCTTTCCTTCGTCACTATTTACTAGAAACCGTCGTTTATATTATATACCACGTCTGTTTTTTGGGTTTAGTTAGAGTCGTTTATTTTAGTTCAAACACAAACTAACTTATATTTCTTTATTTATTCTTGTAACAGGATCTCTCAAAGCTAGACATGCCACCACCTCTGTTAGCCTTATGCCAACATGTCCAGACCAAGTTATTGCCTACTAACGAGGCTCTGTCAATTCACATGCCCAAGGAAGTATTTGGCTTTGAGCATGATACCTTCCTCTTCACTGAAGATATTTTGCAGTTTGGTTCCATGGT